ACTCCAAAGTGTCTTCCAAATTTTGCGCGTTGAGCGCATCCAAGACTTCGCATCTCCAAAGACTAAAATTATTTGTGTCATTAAAACATCTTCACGTCTATCTTCATAGAGTGGATATTCAAACTTTGGACGATCTTCACACCGAAAGTACCATCCACAACTCCTTCTTTCTCGGTCATCTTTTTCAAAGCACCAATAAACCAATGCGGAACAAACGAATAATATATCCAAACTGAAAACGAGAGATTTTTACCTCCAATTGAAACCCTAACAAGTGCCTCTAAAAGGTCTCACCCCATATGACGGTAGACAAGATCCACAATAGTAAAAATCTCACATTTATCACCAATGAAACCCTAGACGAACTTCCAAAGTGATCTACTCCTCCAACTAGCCCAAGCGTAGCTCAAGCTCTGATACCACTTGTTGTGTGCGGAAGCCAATTGTCATGCTTCGGGAAACCAAACACAAACACCGAGAGAGAAGACCTAACAAACCAAAATAACGGCACAAATACAAATAATGAATTTTACGTGGTTTGGCAAGTTGCCTATGTCCACAGGGTAAGAAGGGAATGGGGTTTTTCACTAATAGAGAAGAAGAGTACAAACTGAGATTATAAATCACTCAAACTCACCAATTAATCTCACCAACAAAGATCTTAATCTCTCTAACAAAACCCTAACCAATAGCTCTAGAAAATACCTTTTTTCTGCGCTCCAAATATCCCCTAAACAATCCCAAAGAAACCCTAAAACGTGTGTTTGAATTTATATCAAACATCAATCCCAAACAAAACAGGAAACAACAATCTGGACCTGACCCGATAAACGACAGAACCAAGTAAACGATTACAGAGTCTGACGGTCGACCGCGGCAATCGACCGCAGCAGTCGACCGCACCAACGAAAGAGCCCAGAATCAATTACAGGGTTTGAGCGGTCGACCGCACCAAGCCAAGAATCAAACCCTGGGTCCGTGCACGAATTCGGTCGGTCGGCCTTGCATCGCGGTCGACCGTACACCGCCAAAAATAACTCCCTGCTTCCAAAACCTGTTCTTCACCAAATCCTTCGCCAAATCTACAAGGAAAAGAATTGAAAAGGAAAGCAAAAGCCCTTCTGTCGACATAAGAGTACAAAGAGTAAGACATGTAGTTTGAGATTAATAAGTGGAATGTGGTATCCTAAACTTTACATATTTTTTAACTTCAATACTTAAAAGTTTTTGTTTGACACTTTTTTTTTCTTTTAATACCTTAAAGTTCTTCCTAGCACTCTAAGACCCAAAATTTACGTAGTTTTTAACGTTGGTACCCAAGTTTTGTGGTATGAAAGCATCAACTTTGGGGTATCAACGTATCCAAAAAAAAAGCTTTTGGGTTAAAAATTGTTTAAGCTTTGAAGTATCAAAGTGACGAAAAAAAAACTTTAGGTATCAAAGTTAGAAATGATGTACGCTTTGAGTACCTTCAGTACTCTGTTTCCTTACCCCGCTCAAAAAGAGCTTCCAAATAAGACTAATTATTACCTTATCTTCCCCCCTCCATCACGGGACAGGGGATGGAGCAATTTTGAACTGGTTTGAGGCCACAATTTAGCCTAACAAAACCAGTTAAAACTTGGTCCACGTACTTAGTTACTGCCAAACAAGGGCTAAGACTTGAGCTAATTTCGTTTCACTAAACCTGTTTAAATAAGAGTTGCGAAACAATTAAACCCCTAACTTTTTTGGGTAATAAAAGTAGGGGGCAACATTCATTCAGTAGTAGCTTATAATTGACATGTGTTTAACATGTAGTTTCTGTCTATAACTATTAATTAATGCAATAATGAGTAACTTATTAGCTAGTAATCATTGATTATATATGTCTAAGCTACACCTATGCAATTATTGATTAGACAACAAGTACAAATTCACATGTACAACCTATTGGCCTTCTACCTTAGGATAGGGGGCTACTGAAGCAAATGGAGGACAGGAAAGAGACAGAGGTAAAAGGGCCTTAAGGCTCTCAACCATGATTTCGAGAAGGAATTTGACACAAGCAGGATATTGCCAAATGAAATATTCTCATTTTGTGTCCTATTAAAGGGCCCTCCACTTCGGCATATGATATAGGCATCTAATAGGAATTTTGGATGAAAAAAAAAATTTATTTGATGTATTTCATCACCACGTCCTCTTCTTTCTTCTCAAGTCTCTGACTCATCTCTAAGAAAAAAAATTCCTACATATATATATATATAGGTACTTTCATTGAGAATCATACAGGCAATATATAAGGAGAATATGATATCGGTCTTAGTATCAATTTATGTTGATGATTATATATATTGATTTATGTACTGACCGCGTTAGTTTAATATTTAGTATTTGTAGATGCTTAAATAGTTCCTATTGATTTTTTTCATTGATATTAACAACGTGTAACATTCTTTTTCTACTTCGTATATAGTGTACAAATACATAGACATATGTATTATACATAGTACTAATCTTTTTGATAGTATACGGACGCACGTATGACTAAATGGAGAATTTCGGGATTAACATGATATCAGAGCCGCTTCTAGATGACAAGTCTCTTCTTGGATCACACACAAGTCCATGTGCACCCATCACCCTCACTCGTGGTGGTGGATCATCTCACATGAAAGACAAATGAAATGGAACAAAAAGAGATAGGGGAAAGGAGAAGGCAAAGGGAGATGGAGGAAGAGAAAGTGATAGCATGTCACACTGTAACGGAGAGTACGTACGTAGTAGGGATAAGAAGCGCAAAAGCATCTCTATAAAAAGAAACTATCTACACAACAAAGACAAATGGAGGTGCTTTCTCTGGTGCCATGTCTCATATAGTTAACTCTATGTCGTCTACCTAAAGGTATAGCTAGCTCTTTGTTTTATCTTTTCATTTTATGCAAAAATATTATTGACTCCCTCCTCTGACTCTGATTTAATTTCTTTTTCAAAATCCTTAATTAGGATTCATTTGGTTCGTAAAAGTTTGCTCTCTTTGCATATCTTACTATATTTATGTCTTTCAATTTTATTTTACCTAGTATTAATTGTTTTTTTCTCTTCAAAAGATGCCCAACAATAACTTCCGGTGACAACCTTCTTGTGTGTATATATATCCGTAGATTTGTGCATATAATCCATTGGTCGTCTGATTTTTCCTAACCTACAAATTCATTGGTGCATGATTTGTGCATAATCGATGAAGAAGGACGTTGGAGGAGAGTGGACTCAAAAACTTTTTTTTCCTTCCTTCATTTTTTCCATTTGGTCATTTGGGTCCATATTCCAAATTGGTTCCTTGCATCACCATAATAGCTAGCTTTTAGTGGGAGATAAACTCCCTTTTTGTAAAAGCTCCCATACGAGACCACAAATGAACAAGAAACAAGCCATGTGATGAAGCATCCCTCTACCTATAAAATGGAAAAGTCAAGAATCAATGTTAGCTTTGGAATTAGGTCCTCTCCTTTTCTCATGAAAACTCCACCCACATGGAGATTGAGACTCTCACTATGCTTCCATAATAGCTTCTGAATCACTTCAAGAGGACACACAACAAACTACGGACCCACCAACCCCCCCTCCCTTTTCTTTGGGGTAATCACAAGGTTCACAACACAACAAACTAAGGCTTCAGCTTTCTCCGCTCCTTCCTTTTTGTTGCGACTAAATTTTGTGCACGTCAAGGATCTAGTTTTTAAAATTTAAAAACTCATGTGGGGCCCGGAGTACTGTAGCGAATGAGAGGGGAGGTGTGGTTGGAGGTGTGGTTTGGGGTGTGCCCCTAACACCACTCTATTCAGAACAACTAACGCTTGATTCGGTAGGGGGTGGAATAAGGTGAAATGAAACACGGAGGAAGAAATTACCTTTATTAAGAAGGTGTTGGAGAGAAGTGAAGGGAAAGGAGAGCGGCAATTAAAAGGGTCAGAAACAGTGAAACTATTCCTCGTATGGTCGCAGTAACAAGAAGTCTGAAAGTAACCTTAAAAGGTCATGTGCCTTCCTCCCCTCGGCCTTCAACCAAACAAGAAGTCTGGAAGTAAATTCTGCCATTTCATCCCGTAACACTCAACTCCCTATTCTCTACTTTCCTCTATACCCTTACTCGATCAAAAAGACTAACGAAGAGTTAGTGACGGCTTCTTTTGTGTCTGTACGTGTGCGTATGACGATGGAGGTAAACTACCACATGATTTAGGAAAATGAGCAATCAAGAAAACAGAGTGGTAAAGTCGGTATACTCTGAGATGATTAGAATAAGAATAATTTTTTTTTTAATCAGCCATTTTGAGAATTTAATCAGCAAAAACAACCCAATTAGGAAAAAAATTTAGCAAAATCGACCGCTCGTCGAGAGAGAACGGTCGATTTTGGTGAAATACAATTTTTGCGATACACAGGACTGCTGATCCCGTGTAATTTAAAGCCTTAATTAAGCGGTCAAATTATACTAAACTAGTAATCCTGTCCATTTTCCATTTCCTTGGCATGGCTAATGATGAATTAGCAGGCACTAATTACAGGGGACTAGTACAATTACACGGGACTAGTACTAGTCCCGTGTAATTAAGAAAACCTCTTCAGCAAAATCAACCGTTTTCTAGCCACGAGGGCTAAAAACGATCGATTTTGCTCATTTTTAAGGAAGAAAGTCGGTTTTGCTAATTAAATTCTCAAAATGGTTGATTTCAAAACTTTCTCCTTAGAATAATGGATCTCACAAGTGTGCAACAACACAAGCATCACTCATTAGAGCAGCAGGGTGACCATCACCACTAGCTCACCTCTCAATAGAATCTAATGAAAACAAATATAAGATAACAACTAATTTTGGCAGATAAACTATCAAAAGACGGATAGGGGTTAAAATTCACAATGCTAGTCATGTCGAAATATATAAATCTCATCACTCTTATTTCTTAACAACTTATTTTATACTGTATATGCTTGTCAAATCAAACAGATGCCTAAGATGGAAAGATAGGCAAAATGGACCCACAAAGATCATATGGTACTGAAAGATAAAATTCCTGTAATGCAAGGTATCATTGATACAAACAGAACATTGAGACTCCGTTAAGCACATAAAAACTTCGATGTATATCTTTCACTCTTCCAAAACTAAAAGAAATAGCAAGAAAATAAAATGATCCACACAGTTAAACTCCTGAACAAAAAAGGAAACCCCTCATAGTTTAAAATCGAATCCACAACCAATGTCAAATGGGCAACCATTTTCCCCTTCTAAACTCAAACCACCTCGTAATTGTCTGCTATCAGCTGTATCCTTTGAGCATACTTTGGAGGAGGACCACCTCTAATCGGTATGACATTTCCAACCTGCAAAAAATTACAAATCTCATGTTAAATACATGGACATCTTCCAAATCGCTATCTCCGCCTCTTTAATCCGCAGTTTTTAAACCAAAAAACAAACATTGAGAAAATCCACAGTCAAAGGAAGACAATGGTGTATATATTGATGGTGAAAGCAAGCTAAAACGAGAACAATGAGTTGCAAACTGCAGCAACGATATCTTTAAAGGATTATTGATCATGGAGAAGCTTCCAAATCGCATGTGATACTTTATATAATTGCATAAAGGGGGAAGTCCAAAGAAGTAGGAACTAACAAAGAAATCTTTACAGGGCAATAAATAATAAAGTTTACCAAATTTAATGGAATAAACCCTAATTAATTATATCTAATTGATGAATAAACCCAAAAGGATGAGAGCTTCATGTTAGATCTAATGTGCTTACTTAGAACAGTCAATAGTGGTCCAATCACAAAACACAATATAAAAATATTAGATGGAAATAAAATAAACTTTGTGGCTCTCAAAAAAGGTGATTGGAGAGATGGAACAGGATACGTTTCACTGTAAAAAAAAAGACGGGAGAGGTCCTAATAACTCCTACTAAAGGATATAAAATGCTAAGAACAATTGCTACTTTACAAGAATTAAATTACCAAGGAATTACAGTGAATGCTATATGACAAATGCAAAAAAGCAGATAGTCAAGTGTGCAACCTTTACGTCACTGAAAGTGTTGGCAGCGGTAAACTTGATTGCGATGGGGAAGAATGAAGATGGATCAGCAGGAGGCACGACAAACTCCATGGATCTGATTGCGATGGGGAAGAATGAAGATGGATCAGCAGGAGGCACGACAAACTCCATGGATCCACTGTCAACAATGACAAGTTGAATGAATCATTTAAAAATCAGCAGGAGGCACGACAAACTCCATGGATCCACTGTCAACAATGACAAGTTGAATGAATCATTTAAAAATAAATATCTGAAAGAGCTCCCATTACAGATTTATTCCTAGACATGATTATATTACCTCCGGTTAGTGTTATCGACGAGAAGAATTGACCATTCCAATGTCGAATTCCTTGCATCATACCTGAAATTGAGATATCAAAGGACTGAACCACTGGTGGAAAAACTGATATTATCTTAATATATCTGAATCTAAATGGCCATTGTTCTACCTTACAATCTTGGCCAAAGTAAATAATGTACTGAAGACTTCAGATATTAAACTCCAAACAGGATAAATACATTTTCCTCATCAGTTAGAGAAATGGTGACAAGGATTCGTAAAATTCTAAAGTGGTTAAAATATTAATTCTGGCTTTTTTCATTCTAAAGCAATCACACAACACATACGCACACTCCACTCAACAGGTGGAAGGCATGTCCAATGCAAAATGGTTATGAAGAAGAAAACAAAGAATCAGAATTCAGAAGCTATATACATTACAAAAAGGAAACATCAACTTTACCTCCATTCTCCATCTATCTGCCTTACACTAGGTGGTTCTCGACTTGCAGGAAGAGGTATAGATATCAAAACATTATGCAGGTCAAACGTCTCGAAAGCTTCATATTCAATATTAACAAAGGTCTCACTTCCAGAAACAGTGGGCCAGCAGTTAACTGCACATAGATACAATCAATCAGTAAGCAGTGCTGAAAATGTTAAAATGAACATTGTTTAAGATAAGATGACATCAAAATGTAAAGATGACATCAAAATGTAAACCCACCAGTCAATGGCAAAGAGGCCTCATCCATGCCTTGGATTCTCCACTTGATCAAATTAACATCATTTTGACCAGTGGGGAAAGGCCTGTTTGGATCCTTCAGGCCTACTATATGATTGTTGTTGAACAACTCTTTGTTAATGTTAGGATGAGTCTTGAAGCTGAGACCAGGCATCTCTTGGTTTTCGATCTGAAAAATGCACATCATATACAAATTACTCAATAATCCACATATAAATAAAATTTTCAAAACAAAAAGGAAAAATCTTCACAGACGCAGCAAAGAGAACAAATCCTTCTACTACAAGAAAGCCTCCACCCCAAATTTTTGGAGACAGACATGAAATCTGAATTACAAAAATCTACGTTTTTCAGCTGACAACAAACTTTCTTTGTATTTAATTAGAAGAAAATATGCAGATATCTACAAGCTTTTCAACTGACAACAAACTTTCTTAATATGTAATGTAAACAAAACGTATAAAGGAACCGACATTATCATGTACTACTAGTAAGACTAACTACGACAAGATTGTAGGCGTCAAAAATTACCTATAGGTTCCTGCACGTAGCCCAAGACGATGAGAAAACGACAAACATCATTATCCGAGTCAGAAAGGATTATCTAAGTCAAAGAGGATCATCTGATGCCGTAGATAAGCTAACGAGCGCACAAAGCAAGTCAGCGAAGCGTACGAGTCAATGAAACGACAAAGTGCGCAATACGGCAGAACAAGACAAGTCCGGAGAAGCCCCTGGTAGCCGAGCCACCTCGAAGTGTCTCGGCCAAGGCAAGGCCGAGCCACCTTGAGGTGGCTCACGCCTAGAAGTTCCCGAAACATGTTTTTGACAGTTTTCTCGAGATTTGATCGTTCTACCGCCTCCCTAACTACCTTAGAATCATCCCTGAATATGGTTAAGCAGTTATTAACTGAGGATAAAGTTAATTCATCAATTCTTATCTTGAAATGCTGCATCCGGAGCCTATAAATACAAACCTAGGGCCCCTACACACAGGAGATCTGAAATTTGGAGCTTGGAGGCGAGGTGTTGTCCCTGTGAGAGCAGACCCACGAATTTTAGAGAGAGGCTAGCGAGATCTCGGCGAACTTCAGCACAAAGAGGAAGATTTCGAGAGATCTGAAACCCCTTCAGCAACCTTCCGTTTGTTTCCTTGAGATCAGAATTCATTTTGATCTTAAGAAGAGTATAATCTCACTTTGTTGAGGTTATTTACTTCAGTTCTTGTTTTCTTTGTGAAACGAGATCAACCGGATCTGAAACTCGGCGGTCCACAGATCAAAGAGTCTCTAACACAGGCAAAGATCTCACGCAAGCAGCGACTGATAAACGATCATGCGTGTTTCTAGGAGATCATATCTGTTTGTTTTATTTGTGTAGAAAAGTCTTATAAAAAGACTCCTTTTGAATCTATTGTAATCGATAAACGTTGTAACGAATTCCGCAAATAAAAATATTTACGACGCAAACGCGCCGGCGACCACTGTGGGAGCCAACTGTCTCGTCTCACAGCCGAGACTGTCGTGTCGCAACCGAAGATCAAGATCCCGGTTGATTCAGCGGTCAAGTACGAGTTCGACGAAGCCAAGTTCGAGGAATATTTCTCCTCGTCTTCATCAAAATTCTCCTCCCTACAAATGCGAAAAGATATTGTCTTTGAAAGAGGCGTATTCACTGATGAAGGCTATAAGTGACTTCTCTCAAATCAATGAGTTATCCAATCAAAGTACGCCAACTCTGACGAAGAGGGCTCGTCAGAGGCGACGCTAACGCCAAACTCATCAAATCGCCAAGGCATTGGAACAAGTCGACGGGGTTCGATATTACGCAAACTTGAAGTCCAGGAGGCGTCAAGCAACCGAATTAATTCAACAGCGCGTTGCTAACAAATCCTCCAAGCCATCAACGGAAGAATAGATCCTAATCAGAAGGAACCATTCAACCCGGAAGGAGCGTATCCAAAGGCGCTATGCACGTGCCGCACATGCTCGCACCCTTTTGCAAAAGGCACAAGACACGAAGGAAGATGTGGCCAAAAAACCATAAAAACCACGTCAAGTCTGGAGGCCAAAGTCCAAAACAGCATCAAAAATAACTCCGACAGCGGCCGAAAAGATCAGAAATCCCGAGTCACTTCAAGGTGACTCGGCCAAGCGCAGGTCATTCCACGTTGACTCGACCAAGTGCGGGTCACTGCAGGGTGACTCGCGCCAAGCCCGAGTCACCTCAAGGTGTCTCGCGCCTAATTCGCCTCCCGTAGCCATTTCTCCGCTTTCGTCAAGTCTCGTTCTTGTTTCAGTTGATCACGTACCTCCGGAGAAGTCTCACGGCAGCGTTGACCTGTCGAAATTCAAGGTTACGACGGCGTACCGTCTTGATCCTTCGCACGAAGATCGAGACAAAGCTTCAGTAAACAAAACCCGAGTAGTTCCTCAGACTGGTGGTCGTACAAACACTCCTGTCAAGCCAAAAGCCACTCAAAGGTGTTTCGTCGCCTCCAAACAAATCGGGACACCTCCTTGTGCATGTTCGTGCAACGTGCACAAGAGGACTCCTAGCATCAATCGTCTGGGGGTTCGTATTAAAACCCAAGAGTCCGTTAAGGTTCCACGCTCGTAATGGGGTAGTCTTAAATGTGCGACTCCTGATGCGACCTTGAATCGTTCAAAGGAGACAACAAATCGTCCTGAGAATATCAACAAGATTCTTCATCCCTAAAAGAAGACGTGTCCGTCAAAAGACAACGTTATACTTGGGACATCACACTAACAAACGATGAATTACTCCAATGAGTTATACCATCAGGCTGGGAGTGTGAACAAATCTCAAAATAAGGATGTCCGAGAAACCAGCTCTCACTGTCCATGTGGGTGATCTATCAAAACAGTATTATCAAAATGTAGTTGCCCTAGGACCATTTCACAAAGGGTCTCGATATTCAAGAAACTTATCACCAAAACGTCAAAGCCTAAGTCAAGATGTTTCCACGAGAGAAAATCTACCGTCCAGGATGATGGATTCTCTAAAATCACCAACATGGTTGACAAAAAAAAGTCTGTGATTGTTTCAAACGGCCCTAATCCTGACTTTTCTCCCGAAAGAAAAGTCAATTCAAGGATAACCCAACGAATGTCTCGGCTCCAGCTAGAAACCATCGGACATAAGGATTACCCGAGGATGCACGAAAGACTGTCTTCGAAAGACGAACTGTCGGATACTTGCTCCACAATCTCCTCTAACGATACAATATCCAGCATGGGGGAAGCAGGGAGTCGTTCACAATCACTCCCGACCTAGAGGCTCAAATGCTTCAAGAGGCTTTAGCTCGATAGCGAGAGGAACTCTGAGCTGAAATGAAGATGGAAATAGAGTTGACCATATGACGGATAAGAGGGCAACATGATCAACAACTCCAGACGGTGTCAAATCAGCAAGCTGAATCCAGCCGTCGAACTCAGAACGTCGTAGATAACAGTGATCCAGAAAAGGACGAAGTCATCAAGACTGATACACCCCTTGATAACACTGGGGGTGATTCAATTGCACCCCTCAATAACACTAGGGGTGGCCCAATTACTTCTTCTCAACATCGCTCTAAGAAAAATGAAGGCGATAACAAGATGATGCAAGAGCTGGAAGATAAGGTCAACACCTTGCTATCGGCTCAAGAAGTGAAGAGAACCGACATTCCGTGTCCATATCCAAGAAAGTGGGTTTCAATCCGTACCCGACGAAATTCAATCTAATTAATTTCACGTCATTTGCTGGGAGAGGCTCACCCACTCAGCACTTAATCTACTTCAAGTCTCATCTAGGAGTGATCTCCGAAAATAAACCCCTGATGATTCAGTCATTCGTGGGCACCCTTCGCGAGACGGCCTTCGATTGGTATCGACGTCTCAAGCCGGAGGGCATCAACTGTTAGGACGACATGGAAAGCTCGTTCCTCAACAACTTCTTCGACGATGACACTAAAGTGTTGATCGGAGCTCTTCTGGATGAGAAGCAGGACGATGAGTCAGTTGATAGTTTTGTCAAACGCTTCCGTAATAAGGCAATGAATTAGAGGAATCCTGTCACAGAGGAGTTCATATTGCAGATATGTCACAACAATCTCTCTATCGATGTCCCGTAAGTCCTAGGGTCGTACCATCCAAAACTTAAAAAGAGTTAAAAATACGTGTTGAACAGGCCGAACGTTTTCCCAAAAAGAAAAAAGTCGAGAGGCCAACCGACGGCTAAGGCACCTGCAACTGCTGTCAACATTCATCAACAACCTTGAAGGCAACAATAGACTCTTAATCCAAAGTTCCAGGAGGAGTATTCTTTCGAAAATGATGAAGTTCTAACCATCTTCAAGTACCTCCTCGCCAACAACAAAATCAAGCCGTCACCTATTAAAAATCAGGAGGAAGCAAACAAGACCTCAGATCCGAAGTACTATGCATATCACGAGAGGGTTCATCACCCCCATCAAGGCTTGTATTACTCTGAAAAATAGCATTCAAGCATTGGTTGACATCGGTATCATGATGGCAAAATAAGCCAAATGAGAACGGCATCCTTCGACTGGTATATGAGGCTAAACTGCTCCCCACACTCCGATGAGTATACGAGTATAAACTGCATCTTCGTGAACCTCCGACGGGTATATGAGGCTAAACTGATTCCCGAAACTCCGAAGAGTATATGAGTATAAACTGATTCTCTACGCTCCAACGCCTTAAGAACTTAAACTGTATAGACTCCAGTTAACGTATGACGGTATGAGGTATGAGTATAAACTGTGTTCACGCCGGTCAATGTGTTGCAATGAAAGTCAACGCCAGTCAACGCGTGATAATGAAAGTTAGTGTCAGGCAACGCGTTGCAATGAAGGTCAATGTTGATCAACACATCGATATTTTTGCCAAAATAAGGCTCAATGGCAATATAATGAGGGTCGACGCTAGTCGACGCTAGTCAACGATTCGATAATTTTGCCGAAACAAGGCTCAGGAAAATTCCAGGTCAAAGGATAATCCCGGGAAGTTCAATCGTGATTCAGATACCAAATCCCGACGAAGACGACCATCTCAACGTCGATTCAACGACACGAGCTAATTCAGAAATCCACACCGGTTTCAGTTTAAAATTTCAACAACGACCAGACGATAAATACAGCACCAGAAGAATTTCAGCTATTCGAGAAAATACTGAATAGACTGAAAGCTGAATAAATCAATTAATTAAAGGTTGGGCGTATCATATCCAAAGTATTTCAGCCTTCACTATAAAAGAATAAGACAAAAACATTTTGAAGGGAGTATTTATAGGTGTCAAAAATTATTTATAGGTTCCTACACGCAGCCCGAGACGATGAGAAAACAACGAACGTCATTATCCGAGTCAAAGAGGATCATCTGATGCCATAGAGAAGCTAACGAGCGCACAAAGCAAGTCAGTGAAGCGTACGAGTCAACGAAACGACCAAGTGCGCAATACGACAGAACAAGACACCTCGAAGTGGCTCGGCCAAGGCCAGGTGGCTCGGTCAAGGCCGAGCCACCTCGAGGTGGCTCGCACCCAGAAGTTCCTGAAACGCGTTTTTAACAGCTTTCTCAGGATTTGATCGTTCTACTGCCTTCCTAACTACCTTGGATCATCTCTGAACATGATTAAGCGGTTATTAACTGAGAATAAGGTCAAATCATCAATTTCTATCTTAAAACACTGCATCCAGAGCCTATAAATACAAGCGTATGGCCCCTACACACAGGAGATCTGAAATTTGGAGCTTGAAGGCGAGGTGTTGTCCTTGTGAGAGCAGACCCACAAATTTCAAAGAGAGGCTAGCGAGATCTCGGTGAACTTCAACATAAAGAGGAAGATTTCGAGAGATCTGGAACCCCTTTAGCAACCTTCAGTTTGTTTCCTTAAGATCAGAATTCATTTTAATCTTAAGAAGAGTATAATCTCACTCAGTGTTGTAAATAGCGACCAATAGCGGGGCTATAGCGGCGCGAATAGCGGTCGCGGCCCTTCAGCGCTACGCGTAGGGGTTTCGCGGCTGGCTTAAGCGGGAAAATCCGCTATTCATTCGAATAGCGCGTAAAAGCGGATTTTAGCGGGTTAAAAACGGATTTTCGCGGTTAAAAATGGATTTTCGCGGTTAAAAGCGGATTTTTGTTGTTAAAAGCCGCTAAACCCGCTAAACCCGCTATCACACATATTATGATGCTATATTTCTTGAATTTCTTCATAGTTTCATTCATACAACAAGCTTATTAATTGTTATTTATTGATAATACAAGAAATTTACAACTAATTGAATTTTTAGATTTTTTTATGAATTTTCTTATTATTTAGGATATTTAAATATATTTAAATTTGACCGCTATTTGACTGTGCGCTATTTGTCACGATTTTGCCGCAATAGCCCGATATAGCCTTAGCGGTACCTCGCCGCGACGCGCCGCGATCCGCTATCAGCAACCTTGATCTCACTTTGTTGAGGTTATTTACTTCGGTTCTTGTTTCCTTTGTGAAACGAGATCAACCGGATCTGATACTCGACGGTCCACGGATCAAAGAGTTCCCGACACAGGAAAAGATCTCACGCAAGCAGCGATTAATAAACGATCATGCGTGTGTTTCTAGGAGATCATATTTGTTATTTTTATTTGTGTAGAAAAGTCCTATAAAAAGGCTCATTTTGAATCTATTGTAATCGATAAACATTGTAATGGATTCCGCGAATAAAAATATTTCCGATGCAAACAAAGATGATGCAAGGTGGCTACCGAGATTGTTACTGTTTATCCATCATCACTTATTGATTACAAAGAAAACCCTATTTCTTACTTCATATTTGTTTGTTTTATTTGTGTAGAAAAGTCTTATAAAAAGGCTCCTTTTGAATCTATTGTAATCGATAAACGTTGTAATGGATTCCGCAAATAAAAAAAATTTCCGATGCAAACAAAGATGATGCAAGGTGGCTACCGAGATTGTTACTGATTATCCATCATCACTTATTGATTACAAAGAAAACCCTATTTCTTACTTCATATGAAAATTGAATATTTACACTTAGAATAAATGAAATTACAAAAGGATACTGAAGGATAAACACTCTATGAAGTCAAACCTTAAAAAAACAAAATGCAGCCAAAGTAGCATTTTATGAGAGAAATGCAGTTACAAAGGAAGGCCTTTTTTATAATAGGTGTTTCTTAAAAACATGGGAACCAACATGTCAGTTAACCTGTCAAAGAAGAATGTATAGATATATTTTCCACAATGGTGCTCCTTGAGAATTAAAAAAGCAAGCTCACATAGGCATTGTTTTAAATATCCCCGACATGGCCCGATATATCCTTTTATAGGACTTGCCGCAACCGATATGGTCTTTAAATATCCTTTACCACTTTTTGGCTATTTTGAGTGATAAATCCCCGATATGGCCGATATATTAGCCGATATGTGGACCAATATATCTTTTTATATAGCTTGTTGCAAAATAATATACCGTGTTTGGAATTTTTGGGCGAGATATCAAGATTTTCCCATTATATCAAATGACATTTTGCCCTAAAAAAAGCAGATCGAATGTTGCAACGTTGCTTTGCACTTTTGTTTGTTTTAGAAGGTTGATTAGCGATCCTAAACATATATTATTCATATTTTGTATGCTTAAATTTCATTACATATGTTGAGATTACATTTTAATGCAGTATACTATGTATGCAAACATTCATTATAGCATTCCGATATTTACTACATATCCCTGATATTTTCCCGATATCCGCAATCCGATATGAATTTTGGCCATCCGATATTTCCCCGATATCCGATATTTAAAACATTGCACATAGGTTGCAATTTGCAAACAGGAAAAAGTAACTATCAAAAACCTTCCCAGATATACGACTGATAGCAAAGAGAGAAAGAATGGACCTAAAATCATGATTTTCTTTGTAGTTATATTGGTGATGTAAATGCATCTAAGCATATAAATCAATAAAATAAACAGAAGGTGAAAACATCAAGGAACAAAAACATTCTGATGTTAGATTCTGCAATTCGGAAAAATGTGTATTTTCTTGAAATATTAATCAGTCAAAGGCATTCGTTTAATTTACACTAATGCCAGTTATCCAGGTCGAAGGTATGCTTGATCTTCAGAAGCCACTAAAGTACGACAATGAAAAAGCATATTAATCTCACAGGAAGATATATGATACATGTTTTTTTTGGGGTGTGTGTGGGGGGGTGAAGGAATTGAGAGAGAGAGAGAGAGAGAGAGAACCTGAAATTGAACTAGCCCATCTTCCTGGTTAAGTATTTGGACAGAAAGGGTGCCTTGAACATCAAAGTTACTAACCAAACCATCTCTCCTAACTACAACATTGAGCCTTTCTTCAATAGTTAATGTAATGGGATCTGTCAGTGGAAGAGATGACCTGGACTGCAAAGCAACAGGTGGCACATCCTCAAGAATAACTTCCCCTTCAGCTTTGAGTGAATTCATTAACTGACTTGTCTTTTGTGTCTTGCCAAGCTGCATACCAAGACCTTTAGAGGGAGCTGTCGCAGTTGAAGGTGGACGGCCTGGATTTTCAGATAGCTTCTTAGGAAAAACAAGAAAGCAATAATAAAACACATGATAATTTGAGGTTTTAATAGCTAAAAGATGAGAACAAGTTTTGTGGATAAGAAGCTATGGCGCTTAAAATATAAATGACATAGAAGCCAAAGTATAACTGTGTATGAAATTATTAAGTGATATATGAATCTCAACTAGTATGATATAAGAATAATGCACAAGACTGGTACAGAAACATACCAAGTAATTTTGCGTGTTGTCACTTGTTCACAGAGTGCCCACACACACTATGTTCCAATATATCATTCATTTAAGATGAATCAAGATTTTCAGGTCTATAGAAATGGCAAACATAATATGATATATAGACCTTGAAAAAGAATCAAAATCGAATCTGATTGGACAAATTTTTAAAATCAACCGTTTGTTAACTTTAATAGGCAAAATCGACCTTGTCAAAAAAATATAAGCAAAATCGACCGCACAGGACTACTAGTCCCGTGCAGTCCCTATCTCCTTCCTCACCACCTACCCATCTCTCTCTCTCTCCTCACTCACCTACCCCCCTCTCCTCCCGCAAGCCGCCCCCTCTCCTCCCTCGTCCTCATCTACTCCCACTGCCCGTCTCTACAACTTCATCATCAAGTGCCAACTCGTCCTCATCTACTCCCACTGCCCGTCTCTACAACTTCATCATCAAGTGCCAACTGGCGGTATCGCTGTCATCACCAACCATGAAGGGATGTTACTTGAGATCAAGAACATCAGTAGAAGAGATGTTACTTGAGGTGTCATAGCCAACCATGAAGGGATGTTACTTGAGATCAAGAACATCAGTAGAAGAGATGTTACTTGAGGTGTCATAGTTAAAGCCGATCAACTTGGGCAAATGTTTGAGTAGTGATCGAGTACCAAGACCTGAAAGTTCTCTATCGAAGGCTACAATCACTGGATTGGCTTCAATTGTTTTCTTAGCTGCTCTTGTATGTCTAATTCATGTTTTCGTACACCAAAGTAAAAGATACTCTCTCTGAATAAAACCCCTTCATGGATCAGCGACTTACTGAAGAGACGGGAGGTGGTGATGAGGTCTCTGTCGAAGAGATGTTACTTGGAAGAGGAAGAGCTTGAAGAAGCAGTCTACCATGGAAGGGGAGAAGCCGGTGTACGAAGGAGAAGAGAGATGGAGGCCTCGTTGGGAGAGGTGAGGATGTCGGGGTCGTCACGAGAGACGGCATGGAGGCGGGAGAGGATGACGAGAAGCTTGTCGGGGAGGGAGCCGATGGGGTTGGAGAGGGAGGCGAGGGCATCGGGGGTGGCTTGCGGGAGGAGAGGGGGTTAGGTGAGTGCGGAGAGAGAGATGGGCAGGTGGTGAGGAGGGAGATAGGGACTGCACGGGACTAGTAGTCCCGTGCGGTCGATTTTGCTGATTTTTTTTTGACACGGTCGATTTTGCTTATTAAAGTTAAAAAACGGTTGATTTTAAAAATTTGTCCAATCTGATTCACTGAAACAAATTTTTATGTCTAGGACTTGATTGGGGTTTTTATACTTAGTTATAAATTAAATTGATTTTACAAGAGAACCCGAATAGAATTGAAACTATACCCAAAAAAAGTTAAGGATAAGCTAACTCATTTACAAAATCAATGATCCCAAAGCTCAGGGTAAAGGGTTTAAAGAGAGCCAGGCACCCAACAACATGAATTCAGACATACTTCATTGTTCACTGACGTACAAATCTCCCTTCTCCAGGATGTTGCTCCATGAGTTCAATTAAGCAACACGATGTTGTCGGTTTAACTTTACAACTATTATCTGATGATACCATTAAACTCATAACATTTTGCAAGTGGTAACGGTGATGTCCATACTCATGAATATCCCAAAAAAAACACAGTTTATATTGTCAGTCCTGCATCCAATACCATGTAAATGTAATTCTGAAGAACAATTCATTTTGCTGCAACTCAGGCTGAATAATCTTGCAAATTAAGATATTATTTCTTCTAGCAAAGAATTTTACCGCCACTTGAAATGGTTTTTCTCTTCCTATGAATTGCACTATTTTGCATAATTTACGTTTAATACTACTAGTATAGTGCACGTGCATTGCACGTGGACATATTTGTTTTATGTTCTAATACTTTACACAATTCATTATTTAATTAATGGAAGAGTTTTATTTTGAATGTAATTATAACAACATTTAACGCACGTGGACATATTTGCTTTATGTTCTAATACTTTACACAATTTATTATTTAATTAATGAAAAAGTTTCATTTTGAATGTAATTATAACAACATTTAAGGACTTATTTGTAATTTTCTTACAATTTAGATCATATACTTCTTTCAATCTTCTTAAGATTTAAGTTTTGACCTATATAGGGGTTTATCTGTAAAAAAATTATAAAATTTCAATATTTTTCTATAAATATATGGAATTTCAATGGTCTTTTTGAAAATTATGAAGATCCATGATTGTTTGGGGAAAAATTCAGGGTTATTTTGTGAACATTGGCAAATCATGAAATACCCAAAAGATACAATTTTTTTAATCTTAAAATAGTGCATCTAATCTTTACTATATACTACTTTATGCACTATACTACCATGGATCTTCAAATTATTAAATAATGAATTGTGTATAATGAATTGTGTAAAGTATTAGTATAGTGCACGTGCGTTGGTTCTAAATTCTTTTGGTTCTATTTGTTCTATATAGTATATCCATGGTAGTATAGTGCATAAAGTATAGTATATCCAAACTATACAAACAATTTATAGTATAGTGCATAAAGTATAGTATATCCAAACTATACAAACAATTTAGCATATTTACAAACATGCCTAGGAGTTGGAAACCAATTTACATGCTAAGTTAGCATATTTACAAACATGCCTAGGAGTTGGAAACCAATTTACATGCTAAGGCAAAAACATATACGAATATGGAAGGGGGAAAACCAATTAGGAGTCAGCTTCACCAGTTTTTTCTCTGCTCTCTAAATTGTTACACCGATGCTTCCATTACCATCTCCTCATTCAATTCGATTGTACTCCACCAGTGATGTTACCATTGACACACTCACACTTCTTGCGATTTGTAAGTGATGTAGTTGTGTCTCCTTGCTTTTCAATATGAATAAATTTTGATTAAAAGTTAGAATTTTGGTTAGAGAAAATTGATAAGATTCTATAGTAATTTATAGTGATTTATAGAAGATGAATAGTTGTAACGTTTTTCATTATTAGTGTGTAATGTCAAGACTTAGTGGGGAAATGTTATAATAGTAATTTATAATGATTTATGGAAGATGAATAGTTATAACGTTTTTTTCATTATTAGTGTGTAATGTCAAGACTTAGTGGGGGAATGTTATTAGTGGGTGGTTAAATGAAATTTTGATGCTAATAAATAGGGAGGTTATGAAAAATTAAGTATGTATATATCTTAATGTATGCATGTATGGATGTGCTAGAGATGTATGCATGTATATGTTTCGGAGGGTATTTTTGGAAGAAATGTTAACATGGCAACACACTTTTATAATAGTATTAGATATATATATCTTAATGTATGCATGTATGGATGTGCTAGAGATGTATGCATGTATGTGTTTCGGAGGGTATTTTTGGAAGAAATGTTTTAACATGGCAACACACTTTTATAAGTATTAGATATTAGATTATTACATAATGAGTTTATATAAGAGAATGTACGTTGAACATACAAGTCGTCAGAAAGAAGAGTCATTAAAGTGAATGAAGTACTATAATCTAAAATACAACCAACAATTAAGCTTGTTACATAGACAAAGGAAACAAAATTATCAAGCATGTCACTACATGCAAAGATCAAGTCGAACAGAATGATTCTAAGAAATTTAACGATGCTTTTAGGAGATAAACAGAAGCCATAGAGTTAAAACCTTTAGACTTGCTAGAGAATGATTCCACATCTGAGCTTAATCCGAAGCCAGAACCACTTCCAAAACCGCCACTGTTGCTAGAAATACTCATGTCACTGAAACTACTTTCAATTCTTCTCGGACCTGACATAGCCATAAATCCTCCTTTATCTCCTCTGTTCTTCTCAATCTGCGACATTATGAAAAAAATCATAAACATAACATCATTCTGCAATGTATTTTTCAAGATAATGTTAAACGCTATTGAAATAAAAGGGAAATATGCAACAAATACACAACATAGATAACTATTAAAACATATGTAGAGCATTGGATATGACACGATTGTTGAAGACAAAATTAGCATAGATGCGTAAGAAGAAATTTTTAGTTAAAATTCAAATTGATTAACCAGAGATATATGCTTCATTGTTGGGGTTTCACATTGTATGTGCATGTCAAACATAAAGGTCTGTGCATAAATGATTAGGCAGTCTCAATTGATCAAGAGGATGATCTCTAATTATCCACATCTCTTTCTCTAGCTCATCTATTTATGTGACTATATTGTGCTTGCAGAACTATGAAAATTAGTGGGTTAGCGATTCACTTGAACAACCTAGATAGCAAATGAAAAGATGAGTTATGCAACAAGGAACATGAAATGATGCTGGTAGAGGAAGAAGATGAAACAGCATCTTGTGATGGCCAGGCAGAAATAGATGATAAACCATGGAAACCAATTTAGTTTTTTCTTAGTAGAGAATTTAGTTACCAATATGGCCGAGAATGAGGTGAAAAACATAATTTAATAGTACTCATTTTGATTAGTAAGCCTACGTGAGTTTGAGAACAAGGTTCTGGTCAAGTGACCTATGGCCAAGAGGAAGACTTGGCATGGAACTGCAAGGCATGATTCTTTGCAACATTAGCTTTAGTGACCACAGATTTAACCTAAGAAAAACAAGGTTCAAGTAAAACGCCTGATATCTCATGATTCAATTTCCATGGTAACATTCCATGAAGGCGCACAACCAAGAATAAATTTTAGAAAAGGATTTATAGCTCTTACTTGACGTCAGTGGCATAGAATGGTCATTCTATTGACTATCATGAAGAAAATAATAATAATAATAATAATAATAATAATAACAAGCGACTCTCATGAACAACAAAGTTCATTTTTTACATTCTGAAAGTCTCGTGAAAAATAGAGTATATGTGAATTCAATTTGTATAGTTGATCAGATATCATAAACCTTTATCCAGAATGTTGAGGATGTCCTTGTCCTAAACCAACTGATTCAGAATCATTAATCAGAAAAAAATCATTCAATTATTAATTGTGTAAACAACTAATTTGTTTGATATATTGATCTGGCCAGATGATCAGTATTAATATTCTCAAACCACAGTTTTAACCTAATGCGAGTTGAAAAGATTAGAAAATTACATAGGAATATTACATATTCATGGAAATACAAACCTTGCTTTTGTCAATCTCGCTAGCCTTCCGCTTCATGACATCTTTAGTTTCATTTATCTTGCTCTGCATGAGTAGTTTATGCAACCTTTCCTCGTGACTTTCCATTTCACAGTACTGCTTAACTTGCGCAACTGTCACATTTTCTTTGTGTCCGAGAGAAATAGCTTCATCAAAGGCAAAAATCAGCTCAAAAGCCATCTTGCAAACACCTTCTTCATCTAAACTGGGTGCATATTCAGGTACCTAAAAAGATTAAAGGATGATTCAATATTAACCTTCACATGTAACATGGAGAAATCCAACTATATTTTTTGATAAAAAAAGGAACATTAAACTCCATTCAATACCATAGTGACAAATTCTATATATGGTACTATATCACTTCACTTGCATACTTTTTACTAGTCCGCACTAGATAAGATGACGTATGTGGCAATAACTAACTTTTTTAAGTGCTCACCTTGACCAAGTACCCGAAAAAATGAAAATACCAACAGTTTCTAAACAATTTCATGCAGGGTGTGCATGTTTTGCAGCATGTATAGCTGCAGCAATCCTAGAACAACGGAGGCAATGTTTGACGCAATGCTTTCTTCCTGCTGCCGAAAGAGTTATGCAACAAGAAGTTAAGTTGCAGAAAAGTGTTTTCAGTAAAATGACTCGCAGAATACCTGCCTGCAAATCATTTTGCAAATCTTACTGTAACATCTGCTGCTACTGTTTTGATTTGGGCGTCCTATGTCATAATCAACACTAATCTTTGGGTTGACTTTCAAACAAATGAAAGGAAAATTTTTCCTTCTCTTGCAGTTCCAAGCCAGCAACAAGCAGAAGTATATAGAACACTACACATATATACGCATGTTTATAATATTCAAAAAGATTTTAGCAGTTACTAAAAACTTCTTTAAGAAATTATCATTGTGATACACCAACAAAATGCAAGGAGAGATTACAATATCATGAATGCATGGAATAGTGCTCGAGCTATAATTAAAATTTAAAACTCAGTGTAAGGCAAAAGAAGTATACCAGTTTGGATAGCAGTCTCAGTGTATCCAGGTCTTCAAGAATGTTACTTTGTTTGTTGGTCACAAGCAGCAGATAAAGTAGTTCAATTGGTTGGTAAACATAGCGAACGTTCTCAGTCTCTACATAAGTGTGTTGCTTTCCAGTTCCCACTAACTTGGGAAATGCTGCAAGCAGTCCTTCTATCCTTATTCTGGACATATCAACAAACTGTCTCGAAACAAGTGCTGCAGTTCAGCCAAAATGAAATGCGAGTTCAGTTGATTCATTTTCTAATAATCAACAGATAAAATTGGGTAAATGAGATTTGACGATGGCCCCAGGATTAAACTGACACAATAGACACCCAATCCCATTCTTATGTTATGCTAGCAGATTTGCAATATGATTTAGTAATGCGTGTAATGTAGAAAAGAAATATCCATAGCAGCAAGAGTTACAAACTTAGTTAGGTAGCTCAATTTTTTTCAGAGAACAAATTGATCTTAATTTTTAGCAGTTACAGATGATAGAATATTGAACCAAGTTTCAAGACAATAAAGATTAGTGTATGATATAGTGAATGTTTGTTTGTACTTAAAATGTTGGGAAAGAAATGTAGATGTAGGAGATTAAAGAGAATAATGTGTCAAAAAGATCATTTGATGAAAAATAAGTGTACTTTATTAGCTTTATAAACTCACAAGAATTCCTCCTAAAAACATGGGTAACTGAGAAAAACCAAATGGGTGCTACAGGAGGTCCTAGGTTGAAGATCGGGTTAGAACTCAGACTAAAGAAGTACTCAAAAGGATGCCAACACCATAGAAATAGAAGAAAAATGTAACAAAAAAATATATAGATTCAGTGCATGCCAACAAATTTGCAATATTGACGAGGATGGGAAATCGCAAACAACAGAATATGGTGGTTTCAATTTCTGGCCTACTATATTAAAAGGGGGAAAATAGCAATTTATAGGATTCCACTCTTTACTTGAAATTAGCACATATTGATTAAAATCCTTAAATTTTAAGTCATAAATGTCCTTTGTCCATGGTACAGCGTGTCTTTACCACCTACAGAAGTGAAATTTTTCTTTATATATTGCACTATTATAACTCATAAACCAACACATTAACGAGTATAAGAAAATAAGAGAAAGCATGCAACTTCCATTAAGAGACAGAAAAAACCCACCTTTGCCAGTCTTGCTAATGATAGAAGCTGCAAGGACCACCTGCACATAGAGAAATTCTCAGAAATAAGAAAAAAAAATCTTTTTTCTCAAACTTGAAACAATATAAACATAAAAGTCAATACAATAAATAGTGTGCATTTGGGGTATTTGCATCGCACATAAACTATAAATCATGCATCAAAGCCATTTAACCCTATTTCCCTATTAGAATCTCCAATGCAATAGTAATAGGCATTGCATATTCCATTAGAATTTTGTCATATCAGACCCTAAATTCTTTCTTAATTCTAAGTTAGGGCCCCAAATCTTTGTTTATGATTTACACCCCCAAATCTATTAAGTTATTGAATAACACCCCACAGCCAGTTCCACCCATGATTGTTACCTTAGTATGGATGGATAACTCTCGAAATTAATAGATGTAAGGTATTTATTTTATTTAGAACTAATAATAACTGAAGCCTGAATTTAGGGTCTAATACAACAAAATTTTAGTTCTAAAGAGTGTTATTAAGAACAACTTGATATATTAGCAATGTAAATTAGAATTATGAAGATCTAGAGGCCTAAAATATGAAACTCAGAAAGAATTTAGGGTCTAATATGACAAAAAAACAACTCTATTATTACACCAGAATTATAATATTCATCAAAGTTTAAAATCTCATCCTCACTGATCCCCTATCAAATGCCAACATCATCCTCATAATCACATTCAGAAAAGTCCTTACGATCACATTCGGAAAAGTTCTAATTTAAGAAGATGTAAACGACTATTACCATCGTGATGATGATAGAAACAACAGATTGATGTAAAGCCCCAATCAATTTATGCCCTGAAAAGGAAAATAAACACGAAATTGATCTATTTAGATCGAAGATATGAGGTTTAGAATTACAATAATGATTAGAAAATGAAAGATCGCTCACCTAGGGTTTGAGGTTTGCTGGAGATCTCGTAACTCGAAGAGAGAAATAGAGCGAGATCTGGGATCTGGAAACAAAAGAGGGGATTTACTTCATCTTAAGGGGCTGTTTGGTTGTTCTCCGTAAAAAATCGGAAATGGAAACTCACCTTTCAAACTCGTTTCAAAATATTTCAACACATTTCCGGTATTTTTTTTTTGGAACGACATTATGGTCACGTGAGAAACAAATCTACCCACAACCACCGACCTACAACCACAATAGTAATGGTAATAGTCTTTCGATTTTTTTTTTTTTTTTTTGTTATGGTAATAGTCTTTCGATTTTTTTTTTTTTTTTTTGTGTTTGTTTGAACATAAAAAAATGTAAATCAGCGGCAATACTAACAGTATTTTTAGCAATTAAATAATATATTTTATTCACGGTCACTGTTTTAATAGTTTTTTAGTAATTAAAAATTCATTGAAGTGACATTTCCAAGTGTTTTCCGAGGTTTTTGGTGTGAAAACACTTTTCTCAAAAATCTGATGTGGCATTCTACGTAGCACACTCATTTTTTTAAATCACAAAACAAAACAAACATGTGATTTAAAAATCGGTTGAAACCAAAATCCTACGTGGCAGTGGGGATTTCTTAAAATCTGACGTGGCGGGAGGGTTTTCTCATTTTTTTTTAGCGAACAAACAGCCCCTAAGTGGAGAGGACGACGATGTAAAGTTTTGGTATGGTTTCGGTTTGCATCTAACTTAGCCCATTTCGTCACTATTGGGTTGGGCTGTGGCGGTTCCGTTTTCTTTATGGAAAAATTACATCAGTGGGCGACGGGCCGAGGCCGGTTCGGGCGCTGACGAATGAAAGGAACCGTCCCGTCGGGTTTAAATCCGGGTCAGGTCAGCGATCGGGCTGCGTCGGTCAACAGTGGGACGTGCTATTTTTCTATTCCGGGTCTAGATTGGACCAGCCCGCCCATGATCCGCCTAGAGCGGCCGGGTCGGAACGGCCACAGAGCGAATGGGTGTGGGTCCAACTGTGGATATTATAATTCCAACTCGTGGGTTTTAAATTTTTTTATTAATTTATAAACTATATTAATTTTATTTTTAATCTATTAAATCATTAGTTAATGGCTAAATATCATTTGAGTTTTCGAGAGTGATTGAGTTTCCAAGGATCAGTCGTACTAAGCATATAGCGGGATATCATTTGAACTTTTGGTTAGGTCATGGGTGGGTTCGGTGAAAATCTCTAGTTTGTGCTTGTTCATATGATCGTCTCGAGATGTGGCGATTGGAGATGTGACACGTTAACTCTTCTTCGATGGGTGGAGGATCGCTTTCTCGACTATCAAAAAAGAGTGGGAGAATGATTGATCATTTATGTGATACAATTACAATGCATTGTTTTCTTCCTTATTATTTGTAAGAGTTTGGGTAAGGATAGTTAGAAGTCGGTAGTTAAGCTTTAGTTTTAGTTGCTTATGTCAAAAATTATATTTCCAAGTTGGGCCGGGCCGGGTCGATAGTGGGCCGGTTCAAGGTGGTTCGGGTCGATTTCTCTTGTCCCGGGTCTAGAGCTGGACCAAGCCCAGCTTGTGACATGCGTATATCGCGGCCGGGTCGACACTGCCCGCTGCGGCTGGGCGGGTCGTGACTCATGTCGGCGCAGGGAACCAGGTCAGTAGACGACCGGGTGAAGACGAGCCGTGAACGCAATCCTACCTGCATCCCTTCTCCTAAAATTTTATAAGTGATATCCTATCGCCTTCCTTTTCAGTTTTATTAGTTAAGGTTCTGTTTGGATACCATGGTGATTTACTTGTTTCCATGATGTTTTTGCCAAAAACAAAACACCATGTGTTTGGAAACCATTAGTGTTTTTGAGCTAAATCATCCTCAAACCAAAAAAACAAGACTTATTTCAAAACACCTTTTAGGTGTTTTTAAGTTTAGTGTTTTGGTTTTGAATTTGAGAAGATATTAATATAATATCTAACATAATATATTAAATATAATTAATATAGAGTTATTATCAACATTCTTATTATATTATATGTATACTATACCATATTATAGTTAATTTAATATATTAGTAATATTTATTAAATAATATAAAAATATAATAAATCAAATATCTTATATAATAATATAACAACATATTAAATACCAATATTTAATATATTAATAATGTATTATATAATAAATAAACAATAATAAAATATAAATAAACTAATAAAAATAGTAAAAAAGTTATTGATAGTAAGTAATAATATAATAATATACTATACAGTAGTATAATCACTATAATAATATTAAATTTTTAATAAATAAATTGTAATAAATTAATAATTATAAAATATTATATAATAGTAACATATTTATATTTAATAATAACATAACAATATAATAATATTATTATAATAACATATTTTATAGTAAATATAATATAATATATAAAATATTAATATATTCTGTAATAAATAATATAATTTATTATACAGTAAAATAATTTTTAATAATAAAAAAAAATTATTTCTAACAAATGTTAATGTAAAAATAATATATTCATAATATAATAATATTTATTGATATCGTAAATATTAATATATTATTAAAGTACTATTAATAAACTCTAACATATTAAAAACTATAATATATTATATAATATTAAGATATTTATAATATATTAATTTATTAATAACATAATATTAACATTATTAATAATATCATATTATATGAATAATATTATAATATTATATTATATTAAAAATAGTATAATATTATATTAATAGTAAAATAACATTATTATAAAAATATTAATATAATATACAATATTATATAATATAAAATAATTTATAATATTTTAATTTATTATAACATACTATATACAACAATAACAAATTGATTTATCAAAATAATTAAATATATAATTATTTGAAAATAATATGTAATAGTTATAATATAATAATAATATAATATAACTCGTTAAAGTACAATATAATATTATAATACATTATACAATATTATATTGCATTACATTTAATACTTATAATACCATAATAATGTAAACTAAATAACTGTAGCAGATCGGTTACTGTAGCAGTTCGAAAATGGTACTGTAGCAGGCGAGTTACTGTAGCACCCCAGAAAATTCAAAACAGGAGAATTAAAAAAGGGCGGGAATACTGTAGCAAAAAAAAACCCCGTGCTTTGCACGGACAACAGACTAGTTTATGGAAATAGCACTCCCCCCTCGGGTCGAAAACGTATTTCTAGGGCTACATTTGGATCCCCGTGTGTTTTACTTCTTCCCATGTTGTTTTTGTTAAAAATAAAACATTATGCGTTTAGAAACTATGATATTTTTTGATCTAAATTATCCTCAAACCAAAAACACAACATTTGTTTCGGAACACCTTTTAGATATTTTAAGTTTTGTGTTTTGGTTTTTTTAAGTTTGAGAAAGTTTTAATATAATATCTAACATAATATATTAAATATAATTAATATAGAGTTATTATCAACATGCTTATTATATTATACTATAATATACTATACTATAGTTACGTTGATATATTAATAATATTTATTAAATAATATAAAAATATAATAAATAAAATATCTTATATAATAATATAATAACATATTAAATACCAAAATTTAATATGTTAATAATGTATTATATAATAAATAAACTAATAAAAAATAATAAAAAAGTTATTGATAATAAATAATAACATAATAATGATATAATAATATACTATACAATAGTATAATCACTATAATATTATTATATTTTTACTTTTAATAAATAAATTATATAAATTAATAATTATAAAATATTATGTAATAGTAACATATTTAATAATAACATAACAATATAATAATATTATTATAATAACATATTGTATAGTAAATAAAATATAATATATATAATATAATATTAAAATATTATGTAATAAATAATATAATTTATTATAAAGTAAAATAAGTTTTAATAATATAATAATTTATTGCTAACAAATGTTAATGTAAAAATAATATATTCATAATATAATAATATTTATTTATATCATAAATACTAATATATTATTAAAGTACTATTAATAACTGTAACATATTAAAAACTATAATATGTTATATAATATTAAAATATTAATAATATATTAATTTATTAATAACATACTAGTAATATCATAATATTAATATTATTAATAATATTATATTATATGAATAATAGTATAATATTATATTAATAATAAAATAATATTATTATAAAAATATTAATATAATATACAACAATAACAAATTGATTTATCAAAATAATTAAATATATAATTATTTGAAAATAATATGTAATAGTTATAATATAATAATAATATAATATAACTCGTTAAAGTACAATATAATATTATAATACATTATACAATATTATATTGCATTACATTTAATACTTATAATACCATAATAATGTAAACTAAATAACTGTAGCAGATCGGTTACTGTAGCAGTTCGAAAATGGTACTGTAGCAGGCGAGTTACTGTAGCACCCCAGAAAATTCAAAACAGGAGAATTAAAAAAGGGCGGGAATACTGTAGCAAAAAAAAACCCCGTGCTTTGCACGGACAACAGACTAGTTTATGGAAATAGCACTCCCCCCTCGGGTCGAAAACGTATTTCTAGGGCTACATTTGGATCCCCGTGTGTTTTACTTCTTCCCATGTTGTTTTTGTTAAAAATAAAACATTATGCGTTTAGAAACTATGATATTTTTTGATCTAAATTATCCTCAAACCAAAAACACAACATTTGTTTCGGAACACCTTTTAGATATTTTAAGTTTTGTGTTTTGGTTTTTTTAAGTTTGAGAAAGTTTTAATATAATATCTAACATAATATATTAAATATAATTAATATAGAGTTATTATCAACATGCTTATTATATTATACTATAATATACTATACTATAGTTACGTTGATATATTAATAATATTTATTAAATAATATAAAAATATAATAAATAAAATATCTTATATAATAATATAATAACATATTAAATACCAAAATTTAATATGTTAATAATGTATTATATAATAAATAAACTAATAAAAAATAATAAAAAAGTTATTGATAATAAATAATAACATAATAATGATATAATAATATACTATACAATAGTATAATCACTATAATATTATTATATTTTTACTTTTAATAAATAAATTATATAAATTAATAATTATAAAATATTATGTAATAGTAACATATTTAATAATAACATAACAATATAATAATATTATTATAATAACATATTGTATAGTAAATAAAATATAATATATATAATATAATATTAAAATATTATGTAATAAATAATATAATTTATTATAAAGTAAAATAAGTTTTAATAATATAATAATTTATTGCTAACAAATGTTAATGTAAAAATAATATATTCATAATATAATAATATTTATTTATATCATAAATACTAATATATTATTAAAGTACTATTAATAACTGTAACATATTAAAAACTATAATATGTTATATAATATTAAAATATTAATAATATATTAATTTATTAATAACATACTAGTAATATCATAATATTAATATTATTAATAATATTATATTATATGAATAATAGTATAATATTATATTAAAAATAAAATAACATTATTATAAAAATAAATTAATATTATTATAATATTATAATAATATATAATAATTATAATATAATATAACTCATTAAAGTATAATATTATTACATTATATAACATTATATTGCATTATATGTAATACTTATAATACTATAATAATGTAAACTAAAAATTATAATATTTTTTATTTATAATATATTTTATTATAATTAATATATTATATATTAATAATATGTTTAATACTAATGTTATAATAAGTCAAACTAGTGTTATTAACCAAAAAATACTTAACATGGTGTTTTTAAAACAATTTAAGAGAAAAACACAACAACATGACGTTTTTCTACAAAAACTCAAGAAGGAAAACACCATGATATCCAAAACGAAGCCTAAGTAATCATCATAAGTTTTAAATTTGATTGTCTGTTTTCAATCTATATAACAATCATATACACGTTTACCTAGACATAGATAGATTATCCATATTCTATATTATAGTCTTTAACATCCAAACTAACTTTGAAGAACTTGAAATGAATAAATTTAAACTATCGTTTTTAAAATATTAGTCAGGATGCCTGAGAATCTTGCAATGCTTAGGGGAAGCTTAGTAGCTTACCCAGTTTTGCAAAATAGAAATGCCCTGTTATATGTTAAGGCTACTTTTTAAAATAATAATAATAAAAAATACTTCGGTAAGATGTCCGCTTAATTCGGAAAAAAGCATCATCGGGCATTTTCCTTGTTTAGCAAAGTATTTTACCGGAGTGTATGGTTCAATTTCTATAAATTATAAATTATTTATAGGAAAAAGAAAACACCGAAAATATAAATTTCTTTGTATTTCTATAAAATTTGTAGGAAAATTTTATAGAACTCAAAGAGTACCATATTTCTTGTTTTTTGCTATTTCTTTGTTTGGTTTAAAGTATGAAAAAATTCCTAACTTTATAAAAAATATGTTGTTGTTTTTTTCTTTTGTTTGGTTGGATATAACTTTATAGAAAATAGCTTCTTAACAATGCACATGAGAAATCACATGGGAACGATACTGGTGTACTTAATTAATTTTTTAATATATACATCAGATTTTTTGGTATTTTTTGCCCATTTTTAGTGAAAAATGATTTCTATAAATTGTACAGATTTATGTACTTTACAGAAAACTTTTCTATAAATTCAATGTTAAACCAAATACAATTTATGAAAATCTACAGAAATATATTATTTATGATAACGCCATTGTCAGGTGTTTTCTCAAAACTTTTCCATAAAATAGGTGAACCAAACACCCCTTAAGTTGAACTTACTCATATATCATAAAATATTTTGTGGCAGCTAATTTTAAAAAATAAAGTTTTCATTAGTTCTTATAAAGTGATAAACTGTTTTTCTAAGGTAAATAAAAGACAGCAAAATATATTTCGTATGTGCAAGCTTTGCCCTAACCCTGCTCAGAAAATTTCCATATATTTCTGAATACTCTTCACCTTTCTATTTACAAAATTTCTAAAATAATTGCTATTTCAAATATACAAACCAGTTGTTGGAACACTTCTTTCCCCTTTCCTGATCAAGATGTAGACAGGTAGCACTCGAAACCTTAGTATTCAACTCATGTTACCGTGTAAAAAGTGTATATGCTATACCTTATACGAAAAAGGAACAAGTAAACTTACCAAATTGTATTTGATACAACAAAAATACAGAAGGAAGATACCTCACTCTACAAGTGAAATACAAAGGGCGATGCCCATTCCTAGTACTAAAGAAGTTAACTGAACTGCTGTGCTTCTCACTGTAGTTTTTTCGGTGTTCATTTCTGGGAGAACTCCAGCAACTGCTATGTATATAAATCCCCCGGCTGTAAACCCCTGAAGTATTAATAAGAAAATGGAAAAAAGTGTTGGTTTAAGTATTAACAAAAATTAGAGCAAAATAAATACAAATTGCGGATGTACTCCCTGTATGATAGGTGTATTATAGGCTGGTAAGGATAAACTATTTTATTAATGCTTAGACCCTGATGTCCATACGAGATTCTGTGTGTCAGCTGCACATATAATATTAGGGGTATATGTTCAACCCCTATAGAGAACGGGGGGTTCTCTCTGCAATACTTCAATGTGATCTTTCTACAACATATTGATGCCCAAATACATATAACGGGGAGATGATTAAGTTTGGACATCAGGAGGTTTAAGTGCTAATAAAAATGTTTTTTGAGTAACAAGTAGCTAATCCCCTGCAATAGGAGAGATGCATTTGCAATTAAACTTTTTTTTTTTTTGTGAGGAATAATATACATATATTTAAGTCGAGATCTTCACCTCAATCAAAGATGAATGTCCAGGATCTTTCCCGAGAACCAATGCCTGCATAGGTTTTAATGTTTGATCAGTTCCTTGGTTCTCTATACTTTTGCATTCAAAACTACTTAAAAATCATTAGAGACTCACTAGGGCAGTTCCCGCTAGTGCTACCAACGCTGACAAAAAGTTGAAGAACAAAGCTTTGGAGACTGTGAAACCCGAACGGACCAAGATACCAAAATCGCCAATCTACACAAATGAATGAAAATCAAGATTCTGTGATGACTTATACCTAGACGGACATGTATCTGGTGCGCTCAAGATTCTGAGTGACTCGTACACAAATTATTATCTAAATAAGACATGTTAGGGACTCATAAAAATTCTAAGGTTTTAGGCGTAAGTTGCGCTATCAAGAAATCATTCGTGAATATTCATGCTTAAACACGAAGTTGTATTCTATTTTTTGCGGTAAAGCACAAATCTATATTACAAAACCAATTTGAAATTGAAGCTATGCTAATATGTGAAAACTTAGTTGTGAAAGGGAAGAATGTTAGGTAAAAAACATAACCTCTTGAGGAAGCTCATGTGCAAGCAGAAATAAGGTACGAGACCACCCTCCAACTGATCCATGCAGTAAAAATGCACACCCCAAAGCCATTCCATCCGTAAAATTGTGCTGCGATACAAGCATTCACAACAACAGGAATTCAAATGAGAAACAAATTCTCATAAGCACTGCCTCATGTGACAAAATAGAGGAAGTGTAACTTACAACTCCATCAGAGAATAGATTTAAGTAGCCAAAGATCAAGCTTGATGATGGAGGCGATGATGACTCATTTGAGGATGCTTTCTTTACAACAGGACAACCATCAGAATCATCCACAGCAGGTAACACATTTTGGCCATCAGAGCCATTGGAAGTAACTCGCTGTGCAGAGGAAAGAAGTTCCTTTTAGCATACAGCCAACTGAATCTCAATAAAGTTTACTAAGTTCTTTGTCATATGTATCGACACAATCAGATATGATTCTCAAGGAAGAGAGAGTACCTTCAATGTTTATTTTTAAATCAAGGTGAAGAATTACATATCCACAATGATGAGTTGTTTATTATTCGATTCTTAACTTCAGCATATTTTCTTAAATGCATAATAATCCACAAAATATAGAAAAGCTGTATTTTTATTAAATGGTTGGTTACAAAACTGAAAACAACTTTCTAAGCTGCAGCAGCAAGAAATTTGGACTTCTAATATGGAAATTTAGTACGAATATAAGTAGGCTGCACATAGAGTAGGCCTCTCTATCTTCTGTCTATATTTCTAGATAGGGTACGGATGGGGTACAGGTGCGGATACGGGACATGGCAAATTTGTTAAAAGTAGAGTAAGGGGCACAGTTATATATGAATTGAAATTTAATAATTTACATGTGATCAATATTGTTTTTTCACAAGAATCAAAATTTCATAATGCCGTTACGTTTCTTTTATTATGTATTATTATATAATTAGTGTTTTTAATTAAAACATGTATTATATAATTGAGTACATGTCTGAATAAATGTATCATACATTCAAGGAGTGTCCAAGGAGAGTCAAATACGGGAAGTATCGGGTACGGGTAAGGCTTCATGATAGAAGTGTCCATGCAACATAGTTGCCAAACCTTCTCCATGTTAACATTGGCTAGGCCAAGTACAAGACATCTGCTCACACGTTGATGTAAGATTGATAGCAAGACACAAAGTTTGGCCAAATGTCAGTTACCCTTCTAAATTTTGCAATCAATATCCAACTCTATGTTAATGGGAAAAAGTGTTACTGACTGTTATATCGACAGTTTACATCTAAGAAGTGCACTGTTATATATAGACGATCTTCAGTTTATGGGAATATTAAAGTTTCCTCCACTACACAATCTTCAGTTTAATGGCATATCAAAGTTTCCTCCTATTCCAGTGACCAAAGTCAACTCCAGAAAGGAAGGATGCTGCAAAAAGAAGCAATAGTCTATATTCATTATAGTTTTAAAGAGGCGGGAAATCGTGCGTATGAAAAGAATCCACCCTGCCATACTCTCAGAAGTTCTATTGTGATTAAAACAGGTGGAATGTGGACAATAATCTGGTAAATTGATTGCAGAATAAGTTTCCCATAAAAGTTCCCAAAAAAAAAATCAAGATACAACTAAAATTGAGAAAATTCACATAACAATCGGAAATGAATATATATATAGCTTGTATGGAACACTTAGGGTTCCAATAGAGTTTATCTCGGCTCATGTTCGCTTCAATTTACCTTGCGAAGAGCAGCTTCCTGCACTTTCTCATCATGTAGACACGAATTATCAGCATCTAATAACTTTTCTCCAGCACCCATGCCCACTGTACCTTTACTCTTTGATTCAGTGACCGGATTTGGAGCGTCATGATTTTCATCCTCACATTTCAACTTCTGCTGTCTTTTATGCAGGTGATGGTGTCCGTGACCCAGACCATGAGCTTCACCTTTGGAATTCTCTTCAACGTATCTGACAACCTTCTCAACAAGAAGAAAAAGTACAATTCCAGCTGTAGAATCAAAGCATAACAATAAAACAGTTAAGAGTACACAGAGAAAAGAATATGAAAGAAAGATACTTCAGAAACTGGTGTCAAGTGAAGCGAACTGCAAATGCTCCATTTTACTCTCAGGACTCCAATAAGCAAGAACTTATCAAACACAGCTTAGATCATGATTTCAACATGTGCAAATTAGCATAACTCTCTAAAGATGTTCCCGGAGCTTGAACACAGAGACATCTTCAAGAAGAAGTCATTCAGAATACAATCCACGTGCACTAGGATGTAATCACTTATAGCTTAACAGAGAGCTAGAATGCACACATGGTGAATGCAAATCCAAACAAAGGGAGGCATTGCAACACTAGAAATATGAAAATTACATTCGAAAACCTACTAAACTTATAATTTGCCCCCAAGATTTACAAATATTTGCACCCCAACCCTTACAAACTTGTGCCCCATCTGAATTTTAGCCTATTTAAGTTAGGACATAGGAATTCATCCCATTTGTTAAGTGTGTTGTTTTATAATATTATATTTTAATTTTTGAATGAATAGATACTTGTCCGCCGTCTAAGAAAGATATTCTCGATCCGCCACTATATGCACAGTTTGTAATAAAACATGTGCGCGTGGGCATAATGGCATAAGATATAAATTATACTTCAAGCAACATGAGAGAATTGACCATTTAAGAACTTCAATTTGCCATGAAGTACATATCTTCAGACATATCTTCCATTTTCTGCATACATCTACCATAAAGATCACACACTTCAATTGTTCTGTGGTAAGTTCTACAATGTCTCAAAATAATTTAAATTTTTTCATGATTATACAAATGGTTGAACTAAGTTAGAGACATCAAAATCAAAAACCAATTCCTACATATCCTACATATAACCACAATCGCATACATCAATACCTTCCATGCAAGCCTAACAGAACCCGATTACCAAGCAATCCATATACCACCCAAAGTCAAGAATCAAATCTTAGTGGAATTGTGTGTAAGATACAATTCCATTCCGCAATTGAAAATGATTCAGTGCTCTGCTTAACAATTGTTGCACACATAGCTAAAAACAATGCTTGTAAACTGTTTTAAGAGAGATGTAATTCCAATATGTTAATTAATAGAGTTACATCTATTAAATTGCTGTGAATTATTTGACATTTATACACTAAAGGGTCCTGAAAGCCATCAGTTCTCTATGGTGAAATTCAGAATCTACAAGAATAGAGATTATTTGCAATCTAAGAGAACTGAAAAGAAAGGACTACATATGTCAAAATTGAGTGCATTTAAAATAACTTTGTACTCACACAAAATGGAGAGTCCAACAGAAAGGTCTTGTAAAGAATGAGAATGTGACTGTCCACCTCCATGTCCATGTTCATGTCCATGTCCATGATGATCATCTGTAGTGCTGATGTGATGGTCATGTGAATGAGAATGTCCACCTTGAAGAATGGAAATAAAAATTTTCATGCAAACCACAAAAAATAGGAATTATTCAATAGCAGGATCAGCAGTTTTGCAAAGATAAAATCGTTGCTCCCGTTATGTCTACCCTCCTCTACAAGAGTTCTTTTAAAAGTTAAATAGTACTGAATCTACTGATGACTAGTGAAACAGAAACACCCCAGAAGAAATCAACATAATTAACTGTATGATGCTTGTGACAAACAAAGATTTGGTAAGAATAGCATAATCAGATCAAGCTAAGTGTCAAGAAATAAGAATATAAAAATATAATCCTCAACCCTCACCATAACTTCAGAGTTTTGGTGTAATGGTTAGAAACACTTAATTTGCAATGGCACCAGAGCAACCTAGGTTTGAATCCCACTGGCCACAAATTTAATATGGTTTTTTAAAAAAATTGATACAGCTGCAGGAATTCAGGTTTTAGCCCATTAAAAGGGTCATCACCATAACTTTAAAGTTTTGGTCAAATGGTTAGAGGGAATTAATTTAAGACTTGAGTATCAATCAGTTTCCCTCTGATAGTCACCAGGTGGTAACTGCATACAAATTCATCAACTACTAGAGGCAACATGACATAAAGGCAGTTGCAACTTGCACCAGAATCCTATGACCCATACCGGATGGAAGTTTGAACTATTGTGGTAATTTTTAACATGTAAAGAATGGAAAATTTGGCTGTAGTATGTCAACAAAAATATGGAGGTAAATTGTTTCACCAAGGAATTGGTATGTCAATAAAGTATGGAGGTAAACTGTTTCACCAAGGAATTGGTATGTCAACAAATGTTTAGAAGTAACTTTTCAAATAAAGGCATCCAAAAAATATTAGATTTTTACAACTGTAGTCCTTACACTGAGATGACATCAGAAATCAAAAGAGAAAATGTGCATAATCAAATGACATAATCTAAGTTACGATGATATCTGATCTTGCATGAGAGTGAGACAGAAAGAATAGCCCCTATAAAACAACAGTAATCCAATAAATGTCAAATCACAATGAAGACATGGATGAGGAACTTACTTAGGACTTCACATGCAGTCCGAAGACATATCAACTACAAGAAACAATCCAGTTCATACCAAGATCATGCAAGCATGAGAAAGCTGGAGGTCTAACAGCAATTTGTTATCCAATGTAATTAATTCAATGGTCAGTACAACTCACACAAAAGCTGCAGAAAGTGGCAGAGTCTAGAATATCAGGGTTGTTGAAGATTGAGATTGAAAGGTTCTTTTATGTTAAAAAGTGCAATTAGCTTTCAAATTTATACTAGTATTCTTACATGATTGCAATGAATAGTTTGTGGATATTTCACAAATCTTAAAAAGTACATGTCTTATAAGGTAACCTCAATAAGCAACAACTTCTTACCTAACCTTTACTGCACTAAATGAGAAGTATGCACTCAGGCAGCATGTGTATAAGGGCAAAAGACACTCGCCCCCGCCCAAGCACCCCACGACTCGGGCGCCCACACGCCACACAATGGAAAACTGCATCCACTGCCAGAAAATTCTACCCATTGGGCAAGCTAAGAGTCTAATAGCCAATAATGGGTAAGCAATATTAAAAGAAAGCGCATATTGTGCCATATATTATAAGCGACTAAAAATAAGAAGGGCAATTTATCTGCCACTAAAAGCCCTCAAATCATGCACACTGTCTTAGTGTTGCACAATTTTCACTACAAGTGATGCACTGGTTCATGTAGTTATAGCCTAACGTTTGCATGGGGCCAGGCAGGGGCATCGGCATATATAGTAGTATATATATATATACTATATATTTTATATATATATATATATATATATATATATATATATATATATATAGTATAATATAGCTAAAATAATACGTTATGTCATAACTTTTAATGGTGGATAGCAAAAGGTTGTGCCAGCGGCAAATCTTTTTAAGCCATCATATTGGCCGTAGGGATCCTTTGCATGATAGTGAATAAAGTTTTTTTAAAATATTAATAAATGAGTGGCTAGGATAGTTTTGGTAGACATCAAAACTTAAGTTGATAGGTAGTCTCCTGCTCGGGTATCTATCTAGTATGATATATATATATATATATATATATATATATATATTATATATATATATATATATAATATATTTATATTATATATATATAATACTATAATATATATATATGATATATTATATATATACTATATATATCTATAATATATATATAAATTAATTAAAATTAATAATGTACATAAGATCAATATTTTTTCATTTACATAAGATCAATACATAAGAAATAGATGTGAAGCGTAGAGCGTAGAATATAAATCCAGGAACTATATAAGGAGTGTTTTAAATTAAAACATGTGTCAGTATATGCTCGAGTAAACATATGCATATATTCAAGAAGTGTCCAAGAGGTCCGGGCATGGGTGCGGGTACAGCTTCCTAACAGAAATACCCAAGTAACATAGGTTATAGCTAGAACCTGAGGACTCAATTACTTCAAGAAACTAGAAAACCTTTAAGTTGTTTTTCAGGTTGTTTTTCTTTATCATTGCACTCTCAGATGTCACTAAATTATCAAATATTTAAAATCAAGTAAAAACAATTATAAAAATGATTAAAGAAAACTGATGTTGCCTAGATATCCAAAGGTATTAGAGGAAGGACCAAAAGGAGAAAATGAACAACATATGCATATATTAATCATTATACCAAAAGCATGAGGCAGTTGATGAAGGAAAGCATCTCCAAGCATTGCCCCAGCCTGTGCAACAATAAGTAATCAGAAACAAGGACACACTACATGTTAGAGATATCAAGATGGAAAAATAAAGAAACAATTAGATACAAAATAGTATACCCAACATTTTGTACATGCTAGTTAGACCAATAAAATTCTCCCAAGAGTTTTCTTTTTTTTAGAAAGAAAATAAATCCAAGTAAAGGAAATGCTTAAAGAATCAAACAATGCAAAAATGAGAGAAAATCTGTTCAGATGTTTTAGTTCTGCACGATGGAGGTCACTAAATGCAGAGAGAAAATCTGTTCAGATGTTTTACTTCTGCACGATGGAGGTCACTAAATGCACCATTTAAGACAAGGCTATAGTTAATGGGGCAAAAAGAACTACAGGTAAACCTAAAAGAACTTGGTTAGAAGCACTTAAAGAAGGAATTTTTCAGTCTTAAGTTAATAGTTCATGGAGGAGATCAATTAGAGGATTCACGTAGCCTGACCTAAAAAAATAAGGTAAAGGGCTTTGCTGTTGATGTAAAAGACCGTCTTTTTTTATCAAAAAAAGGTAGCCTGAAGATAATTTTCTCACGAGCTTAAGGAAAAAATTAGGAAAAATTATAAGATATTTTCATGACAGAGATCTTAACAAGTTAGGAAAAATTACCCCAAACACTGCCAACGAATCCACCACGGCCTTTGAAGGCTTCCCCTTCACTGTAAACAACAACCCCAAAATCCAAAAATTAAAAAATAAAAAGTAATCCTCATTCCAAGTTCAATTAAACAAAATTAAGCGAATGCAGATCAATTAACTCACAGCAGATCACAGGCAACATAACAAGACAAATCAGTGACGCCAAGCTCACAAGAAGCGAGCATCCAAGTGCCTTGACCCATAAACCTTCACATAAAAAAAAATTAATTAACATAAAATCCACATCATTCCACTATCCAATTATAGAAATCCTCACCTATTTTTGATAATTCAACGTCATCCTCGTCACCATGGTGATGGTGATGGTGATGGCGATGGTGATGGCCATCAAATCCATCGAGCTCCAGATCCACCTCCTCCGCCAGTTCTTCTGGAAGCTTCCGCCTTCGGATCTCGCTACGGTCATGGTGATGGTCGCCGCAGGACGGCGAGTGACCGTAACCAAGCGGTGAGAATAAGAGAATAGAAAACAAAATGATTGAAGCCGACGTCATTGGGATATAACTAGGGTTTTGGGCGCTAATTCGAGCGACAGCAGGTGCCTCGAATAGTGATGACTAGGACGAGGACGAAGAAGAGGACGATGATCACGACGATCGCACCGAAGGTGACCACATCCATTTCATTTGTTCTGATTCTGGGGCTTTATAATTTTTTCCCTCATCAATTTCCGTTATTTTTTTGGGGAGGAAGAGAGAGTGAACTGAGATTTCCGTACTCTGCTCAGAAGTTGTCCCCCTTTTCTAACGATTTCCTTTGTTATTTTCACCGCTGGTGGGAGTAACGGGACCGGAAAGGACTGGTAGAATCCTTTGTTCTGGATCAACACGAATCCGAAACCCGACCCGATTGATTCGGGTATGGGTCGAAATGAGATAGACCCGTCTATGCTTTATTTTCTTCATTTGTTTGCTTTATTTGTATTTTCTTTATTTAAATATCGGTTTAGTATTTGAGAACATAGAGCTAATTCTTGGGGATGGGAAGTAGGCAAAACTCGAGTGAAGATCTCTCAATCCCCGTGGGATGCAAAAATATTATTTAGGTTCCTCATGTTTGAAGATCATTATCAACATTTTGTAATGTTATGTCGAATGTTAATGTTGATCTGGATTCTTTTTATAAACTTTCTTGTTGCTGACTTGGTGATTTCATTATAAACATTCCATTTATAGTTTATGCATTTCAAACACTAGTTTTCTTTTGGTTTCGCCAGTGAGAGGAAAAACGGAAGGTGTTCACTTAGTAAGAAGTAGTGAAGTTACAAACTTACTATGATATGTCATTGACACATTAATAAGATTAATGAAATTTTATTAAGAAACCCTAAGCTGACGACAAAAGTAACATTTCGTATCTCCCATGATGATTTTTAAATATAAAGGTTCATGATGATATTTCGATAATACAGGAGTGACCCCCCATTAAAAATTGGGGAAAATGTGTGTAGGCCCCAAAAAATATAAGCTGTTGTGATCCAGCCCCTCAATGTTTTTCTCATGTCCTTTAACCCCAAAAACTAAAAAAATATGATTAGGCCCCTTTTCACACTATTCGATTTAATCACAAAAGCTCCCGAAAATACCCTTTCCCCTTTTCTTCTTCTTCTTCTCCTATGAGGTCTTGGAGGAGGTTGCCGCTTCGGCACCAGAAACAGTGGAGGCCACAGTGATGGTGGAGGTCGCTGCCACAGAGACGCCAGAAAAATCGTTTGCCCCATCATCGGAGGAGGCCGCAGCTCTGGCATCAGCATCAGCCACTACAAAGGTAACTGAGGAAAAGACTGAGGTGGCCGATAGTGGCCGAGTGGCAAGAAAGTGAAAATAATCATTCACCTCTCCTCCATTTAAACTCCTTACATCCCTCAACAAAACCCATCTCTCAAATCCCCCATTTTCCACGTTCCTTCACCAAAACCCTGACTCAAACCTAAATCCAGACCCCAAAATATTTTACCAATCTTTTCCTCATTGCTTTACTCTGGACCCAATTTCTCTTCATGGGCTCGACCTATACGACACCAATATGGGCTCCGATGACGACCATGGTAATGGCGGAGGTTCGGCAATGTGGGCTGATAGTGCGAAGAAGAAGAAGAGGAAGAGGAAGATGAAAAAGCACAAGTTAAAGAAGCTGAGGAAGCGTCTCAGGCGCAAAGCTTGATCTAATTTAGGTGACGTCTCTCTCTCTCTCTCGCTATGTCATCTTATTTGTCGAATGCTTTGGTTAATGTTATTGGGTTTTGATGCTTTCCTTCATCAAATTGTATTGATGGTGAAAATCAACCTTTTTTTTATTTTGTCAGGTTGTTGATTTGCCATGTTAATTTCGTTTGATTGTATTGGGTTGTTTCTTGTGGTGAGTGATATTTGAAGCTAATATACCAAAAGTGGCCATTTGGACGCTGCCCAACTCCTGTTCGATTTTGTTTGATTGTTTGATTGTATTGATGGTGAAAATCAACCTCGATTCTGACATGTTCATCACTAACTCACTCATCTCCTTCTACTCAAAATGTGGCCATTTGGAGGCTGCCCAACTCATGTTCGATCAAATGCCTCAAAGGATGAGAAATGTTGTTTCTTGGATAGCTATCATCGACGCCAACGCCCTTAATGGAAAACATGCGATGTCGTTGTCCCTTTTTCGGAGAATGATGGACGTTGGGATTAGACCCAGTAGACTCACTTTCTTGAATGTGATGGGTTGTGTCTCGGAGGCTATGAGAGGCCGATGAATTGAGGGAAATGGTGAGAAGGGAGATGCTCGATGAGGATGTTTGTATTAAGAATGTGATGACAGGGATGTATTCCAGGTGTGGGAGGGTGGGGTTTGCAAGGAGGGTCTTTGATGGGACGGTTTCATCGATGATAGGGATGTAATCAGATCTCGCGAGTTTGTTTGTGTTTCATCAAAGTTGTAATCTGTGAATTTGTAAGAATAATCATATTGTGTACTCAAGCAATATCACATGTAAGAAGTTTTAAAAGCAGCTTATCTTTTTTTTTATTTTTTCGACTATGTTATCTTTCAGCTGAATAAGTTATCTTTCACATGAACATGTCAATTTTCTTCATAACATGTTAACTTTAATCTGAAGATGTTAACTTTCATCCTAATATGTTAACTTTAATTGTTACATGTTAACTTTCATCATTATATGTTAACTCTCCTCGTAACATGTTAACTTTCAGCTAAACATGTTAACTTTCATCATAATATGTTAACTTTCACTGTTACATGTTAACTTTCATAATAATATGTTAACTTTCTTCATAACAAGTTTTTTTGAACAAAAATTTGATGTGTTTGAAAGACTGAAAGTCCCTCAAGATAATTTATCATTGATATATAAGTTCTCATAAGTTCAAACATGTTTTCTTATACAAATATCTTACAAAAACCACTCCAATCTCCATGCAAATCTACAAATTTTAGTATACGAGCAATCTTTAGAAAAAAACTGAGCTTGATCGTCGCAGTTGATGCTTTCGTTCTGGTGGCAGCGCAGAATGTAATATCGTTCTCTTCTTCAAGTTTTGAGATCTTGTTCTCCAGTTCATTGGTGTATGCCTATCCATTACAAAAACAAGCTTCTCTCAAAACACAACACATTCATAAGATGAGAAAAAAATTAGCATGTTATAAAGAAAGTTAACATATTATTATGAAAGTTAACATGTAACAGTGAAAGTTAACATATTATGATGAACGTTAACATGTTCATCTGAAAATTAACATGTTATGAGGAGGGTTAACATATAATGATGAAAGTTAATATGTACCAGTTAAATTTAACATAGGATACATGTCATGTTCTTGCTGATCATGAGATTTGACAGACATTCTATGTTCTCATGAGATTTAACATTAATCAAATTTTTACTTATTTTGCCACAAATAAGAGACAACCAAACCGTATGGTTAGATAAATAGCACAATTATCGGCTGGAGCTTTTAGATGTTACAAATGTTGCAGCACTAGATTCACAAAGGTAACATCAGCTGATAAAAAAACTTGGTAAAATAAAAATTCTAAGCCATTGCAAAACATAATTTTGCCTAAAAGAGAAAACTAGTAGCAAATTCTTAAAGTAACAAATGGGCACAACAAAACAAATGATTTTTTCTTCTCATATATAATGAACAACGAAGAGATGGTGGTTAATTCCGTAGAGGGTTGTGGTCCTGGGGACATAGACTTACATTGGTCATACCACAGAGTCTCAAGACTCCCAAACAAAAATTCACATGTTTATGTGTAATACTAATCTTATTACTTCAGTGAAGCAAAATGACAAACAACTGGTGTGCAGGGCACAAAAGAGCCACAAGAATCAAACACATAAATATAACCATAGGAAAGTGGGTTACGCCATGAACCTGCACCTATAAATCACTTGCTCACACCATCCAAAACAAAAACCATGAAAAAACCACAGATGATCAGAAACTTTTTTGCCCTGGGCAGCTACCCATGGCAAGCCTTGTGTGGCTCCATCACCGCTCCACGGCCACGCCGACGGGGCGGACTCCCTCCACCCTGGCTCCGTTGCCCCCGTCAACTCCAGCTGCAACGTCCTCCTCCTCGAGGTCGACTCGAATCCCCCCTCCCCCCTCCTCCTCCTCCTCCCCTAACTGCAGCACACCAAGAGCTTCGCCGCCGCTCCCGCCTACGAGGGTAGGAACTCGTCTCCGAGGCGATCTGCTTCAATATCGTCGATGGTAGCTGCCGACGAGGAGTCAAAGGCTCAGTTTAGCAAGCTGGAGTTTGGGGATCGGAGGAGGCTTCTCGATCTTGTTTCTGGTAGGGTCTGGCAGCGGATCCCGACGGATCTTGAGCTCGTCCCTTTGTTTGCCAGCAGCTTGGAAGAGGAGATGATGGTGGCCGATTGGAGACTTGAGCGTGAGAAGAGAGGAAAGAGAGAGAGAAGGGGGGACAGTTTTGGAATTTGGAAAACACTTTCTCACTGTGCTGTGTTGGAAAGGTAAATAAAGGCTGAAACACAAGTATTTCATGTGTTTGGGGCTTTGTCACACAAAAAATAATATGGGGGGCCTTGTCACAGCTGAAACACAAGTATTTCATGTGTTTGGGGCTTTGTCACACAAAAAATAATATGGGGGGCCTTGTCACAATAGCTTTTTTATTTTGTGGGGCTTTGTCACACAAAAAATAATATGGGGGGCCTTGTCACAATAGCTTTTTTATTTTGGGGCCTTGCAAATTTTTTCCTTAAAAATTTGCCTAAAAAGTATGTTGTCTTTGCCCAGAATTTTGCAAAATAAAAAATGGTCAAGTCAAGGTTATACCCTAGCTGATTGTCACCCCTAGTTATCTTGATATTTGTCCCAAATTTCATAATTATTTTCAACAGCTAACGATTATTTATTATATGTTGCATATTGTTTTGATGCTAAGAGATTAAACAATGTTTCAAAAATAAAAATACATCATCTGCAATTATAAAATCATAATAGAAGACTCACATGCATGTATCCTGTGGTATCTAAATTATGGAGTATCTAGCATGGTCAACATTGTTCTTTATTTTTTTATAACCTAGCTTGGAATCAAACATAAGACCATGAGACCATATTGGAACCTCCTAATTGTTTTGATCACCCACAGTGAGTCGTTGAAACAATATCTTCTAGATAAGAGTGGCCATGGACCGGTTCGAGTCACGGGCCGAACCGACCAACCTGCCTTGGTCAAGACCTTGCCCAGCCCACAATAGATTAAGCCTAACTAGACTTGTGATATACCTGAGCCAGGACATGGCTATGTTCCGCTCTAAACCTGTGGACAAACAAGTGGGTCGACTCATGTCCGACTTGGCCCGGTCCAACTCGCTTTAGATGATAGTTACATTTTGATATAATTTTAATAGCAACGCAGTTAAAATTTGCAACTTCCAGGTGTTTAAGTTGTAATCCTAGTAGTAGTGGAGATTTTTTAAGTTCTATTCAGTATTTTGATAAATATTTGTAGTTATTTTGATTTATTGAAAACACTCAAGTGATTATGAATCTTTGGTTATTGGAGATAACTTCATCACAAATTATAAATTTATACAGTTTAGATTTTTCGAAAAATTTTCCTTTTTTAACTATAAACACTAATCTAGCAAAAAATATTTAAAAAATTAAACAGAAAAAAAGTATGGGCTGCCCCACGACCCGAATTGTCATGAGCAGGGTCAGACCTGCCCCGGCCTCATACAAATCGTGGGTCAGACTAGGTCCAGCCCCAGATCCGAGGACAAATACATCATCTGGCCCATCGAGACCTACCCAGGCTGGGTCTACCCAGGCCGGGTCTGAACTAGCTCGGACACAAAGCTGGTTGGTCAGCTCATGGGGTAGGGTAGGTTCAGCGCGGCCCACACCCAACCCTCTTGGATATACTAAAGAGTTTAAAATTTCAGGAAGGAAAACACAACTCTAACATTATTTCATAAACACGAAAAGAAACAAATCAATATGTAAAATCTCCAACAAAGAAATCCAGTTCAAACTATTTCTGACTTTTAAAAACAATAAGTATAAATAACACAGCTTGATCATCAAATAAAAAATATAACTACACTCAAGAACAACATAGAAATCAATGTGTAAAATCTCCAACAAGGAAATCCAGATCAAACTACTTTCTGACTTCTAAAAACAATACGTATAAACGACACAGCTTGATAATCAAATAAAAAATATAACTACACTCAACAATAACACTATCAACAGTATCCAGTACTAATATACATCATCAGGTACTTGAAAATATAGCCGATATAGGCAATAATTCCTAAATACCCTCATATTTCAATCTTGAGGAAACAGAGAAATACACAAGATAATCAAAATCTCCATTATCCTTATTCCTTCATACTACTCAAAACTAATACAAGCAACCAATACTACGATAACAATATACAAAAGATGCAAATGGGCACAAGCAGTTCAAACAAGCATTACAGGTTTTATATACAGGTAAACATAGCAATCTAATCAGCAAACTAAAAAAAATACCCTCAGTCACATAGAAGCCCAAGTTAGTTTCCATATCTACAACGTAAACGTTAGCTCTACTCTCCTTTAATCCTTCAACTAGCTCGCTGATCCAAGCCTTAATATAACAATCAATACGCAGTAAAATACTAGTGTACATTTTTCCAACCATTTTGTGATGGATTTTCCCCTTTGTTATTGTTCAGCATCAGAGTAACTTACTTAGTCAAGATTGCTCCTGCAGAAAAAGGGAAGAACCCGTCAAATGACTAAATATGTAGACTTTAGGATCATATCTTGCTGAAATCATCACAGATTAGATCATATTTGAAAGCTGGCGCTTTCGTTAGCATGAGTTTCTATTTATGTTCACCTTCATCTTTTTAATACCTCCTTAATTTTACAAAATACTACAACATGGATCACAAAAACCAAAAAGTTTTCAATTGCTCATTCTTCACATACTACACTATTTTCTTATATTTTTCAGATGAAAGCAGAGAGATTAAATGCCAAATAGACCAAACTCATGGCTCTAGCGTGAGCCAGACATGTATAATAACTAGAATCAATATAATAGAATTTAGTACAAGTTATACGTTGGTCATACTACAAAAATATGACCTAATTTTAACACATACTAAATTCAAGGCAATTATCTACTTGTTGAAGTGAACCATATCATAAGGATCACTTGATAGCTAGTAGCTCTGCATTGCCTTTTCTTTTAGTTGTTTACGAGAGAAGCTTGTGTTCTTTCCATGGAGAACTACAAGAATTCTACTGTATTGTTGTATATGTTGTGAGTTTTCCAATTTAAGTTTAACAACATTATTGTTGAATTTTTTACCTTAATAACCTTGATAATGATACAAGATATAATATCAATACCAGACATTTCCATAGCTACTAATATCCAAAACACTTAAATCCAGACCAAGCTATCTAAATTTAGCAGTGCAATTCTAGTTTAAATTACCATTAGCAGATATATTTATGGTAAGTGGTGAAGCTTCATTCATACCAATTGAGATTAACCCAGCGATTCGGGTTCTGACCCACTAATAGAAGCAAAAGAAGATGATGTATCCTCTTTAGACAGACTAACAAAGTTCAAAGGTGCAGTTGAAAGCCTCCTCATCTCCTTAAAATATCCATTATAACGTCCAGAATAAGAGCGCGGGGTAAGAAGCTCGGGAGTTGCACTGCCAACAGACGCACGTCGTGGACACGGAGTCATGAACCCATTTCCATTTCCGTTCATCTTCCTATTGAAACTGCTGGCCCTTCTTGGGCTAGGTTTTGCCCCGTACATAGCTTCCTTCTCTTTCAGGAGTAAATCTTGCAGTTTCTTCTGATCCTGAAACAACAGAAGAATAATGCTAAATAAAATAAAACCACCGAAAAGAGGGGGTATGTATTCGGCAATTGAAGATACTCGATATCGCCTTCTTTCCTCCTCTTTCTGTTGTCTAGTAAGTTGATACTCTTCCAAGATAGACACTAAGCGAACCTGGAGGGAAAAGAAGGTAAACTAGTCAGATACACTAACGATAAAAAGGGGTTTCTCGTCTTAGAATATACATTCTATCATATTTTTATATTAGACAAAATCATATTTTTATTTACACCCTCAAATCCTTAAAGTCGTTTTAAATAACACCCACTAAATGAAAATTTGTCCAAATCTGCTATTTTGGTGTGATTATAGCTCTGATCTCCCTACTGATAATTTACCTTAATAACCTTGATTATGATATACTAATTACTAAACTGGGTTAACTCTAGTGGCTGAACAAGTAAAGGAGAAGATAAGAGAGATCAGGAAGAGTGCCGTCCTATGGAGAGAAAAAGTGAAACAACATAGGAGTTAAATCAACATGCTGTACCCTAGCAAAGGATATTAAAGTTACCAGCAGTGAATATTTAATCACATCACACTAACATATTTTGTCTGAAAAAATTCACTTCAGGTCTAATTAAAAACAACTTAGAGTAGGATTTGGAGGTTTAATATAAAAATTATTATGGAACTGGATCTAATACGAGGAAAATGCTTAAAAAGGGATAGTTTTACGAACCCCATCGTACAAAAAAGGCATGCTTCTCTCGTCCTCCCAAGCCAAAGTTTTGCTGATAAGGTTGTCTACCATACCTGGAAAAATAACCAAGGTCAGCTCCTAGAGGGCATGGTTTTTTTTTTAAGAATTAAATGGCATTAAGTTTTGGTAAGCAATCTGATACCAGGAATTTTTGATACAGTAATCCGTGCCTTCTCAGCCCGTTTTAAGTTTATATGGGCACCTCGCCCAGCACTGTACCTGTTTTGATCCTGTATCAAGTTAAATGCTAAAATTAGCTATGAAACAGCTAGCAAATTAATAATCTTAGCAAGAAATAAAGTGCAACAGGTTTAATATGGGAAAGCAAATGGTAAGGCTATAAAACAATATGACATGCAATGCACACAAAACGTTAATTTAATTGGCTTTTTCCCTCTGTATCTTTGGTGTGACATTGACTTCAGAATAACATCCAGAGCGCATAATACAGTTGAATAAGAGCCACAGAGAGCTATTCCTATATTTAATTCACAAATCCTCCTCCAACTGTTGTCACCCAAAACTTGGGTGCTAAAGAAAGTTCACATTTTCTCATAATTTTACATGTCGTCTTCATCGAACCTTGAAAGTAACGCACACAAAACCTATCCCTAAGTTACTAAGAGAAAAATAAACCTAC